CTGGGATAAAATAATGGATAAGTTCACGCTAATTGCGGCAATAGCTTTATAATCATTTTAATTTTATGACTTCAATAGGTTTTAAAAAATTTTTATTTCATCTTATTTGGGGAAAGGGGGGGGGGTGGGTCTTTGCTTTTCAATACAGTCTCTGTGTGTCATTTGAAAAGCACTTTCAACCCACTTTAAAAATATATATTTTATAGCATAGGAGCCAAGGAACGAATGCCAAACCATGATCGCCAGTGTCTGTTGCAGATCTTACCCCTGATGATGAACAACCATCTCTGCCAACACAGTTGGCATAATAATGAAGGTATTTGTATTGGAGACTAGTCCTTTCCTTTTTAAGAAACAAATGACGATGACAATGAGGCCCACTCGAAATTAGAAGCTGGATTGACTGGGGAGGCTAACGTCACCACTGAGTCTGCGGTGTTTGGTAAGGACTCGCGTGGATAAGTTCCACATCGTGACAGGGGCGACTCACATAAACGTTACAAGCCAGCATAATAAACAAAGATGAAGGAACGATTATCTGTTGTGCGACAACACAACAGTGAATCATTATGGTCTTTTGAGACCTTCAAAATGGCAAAGTGCTTTTTGAACGTGGATAAATTATATAAGTCTGAATTTACTTGAAACTAAAGGGAGTGTTATCAACGATCAGTCTCTTGTTTATTATCCATCTAACAAAAAGCTAGACCCCAGTAAAATAACCGCCCTTGCTTACAACAGGCCGGTTATAATGTTTGATATAAATTATGCATGCACCCCCCCCCCAACTCCAAAAAAAAGCCACACACAAAAAAGGAAACCCACTCACTTTATCGTGTTCCAGGGGGCTCTCGTGGCCCAGAGGTTAAGGTGTTGGCCTCTCATTCAAAGGTCCCGGGTTCGAATCCGGGTAGCGACCGAAAAAAATTTTTCTCTAAGATTGTCTCCTTTCACCTTCTTTCCTGCTCTCTAGCAATGTTCTGTTGTCTGCTTTCATTTTCACTTTCTGCCCCCAACCCCTCACCTCCTTTGTCCCCTCCTCTGGGCTCCTGACTCTTTCTGCAGCCTTTCTACTGCTACTCCTTGGCTCCTCCTTACTGCTGTCTTTCTGCCACATCCCTGATCTTCTGGTAGGAAAGATCTACACCTAGCCTTCTCGGACAAGGGCGAAAAATCTCGGAGGGCCCATGTGCAAGTTGCGCACGTTAAAGATCCCTTGGTGGTCAAAATTTCCTACCAACTGAAAATATTAGGTGTGTCCCGCGCGCTCATATGACCTTATGCAGTTGCGGGCGCCGTAAAACACTTTACAAAAACAAAAAAATTCCTGTTCCCACAGTGTGAACGGAGAAACCTCCGGTGTGAACGGAGATGACTAGTCGGTGTGAATCAGACACAAGCAAACTACAGCCCACGGGCCAAGTCTGGCTAATTCAGGCTCGCGAGTCGACCCAGTTATTAAAAACTGTGAGTAGATTTTAAAAAAAAAAAGAAAAAAAGACCGACATACAAACAAAACTGTTCGCTTTGAAAATTAAGATTATTACTTTCCGACATAGCTGGAAGTAAGAGATCTAAGATTAATTTATCTCATAAAATACCCTTAAGTAACAGTGTCTGTTTTAGTCTCGTTACTTAGAGTTTAGTTATTGATTTCACCTAGGCTAATTTCCTCCAGGTTTGGCCTTGAAATCTGGAATAGTTTGATTAATCCGACACGTGACTAGGGCAAGTTTGTCCACACACAAAATACAAAGTGTCAGTTTCCCCAGGTGTAGGCTGGGCTAACAGCAGCTGCGGGTGTGATAAAAGAACCATCGCGAGCCGAGGCTCATAAGGCAAGGCGCGTTAATTGTCCGCATTCATTGGCTCGTGTCTCGGCGTGGTGGAATCAAGCGCTCGTCAAAATAATGCAATCAAAGACGTCGGCAGTCTTCCATTTTTTTTAATTTATTTTTTTTTATACATTTTGTGCTGAAACACTTGTTACATGCATTTATGTCTTTTTTTTCAGTATAGATTTTACTGAATTACGTAGAGCAAAGGCACACAAAAAATATAAATTTGCAGTTTCCAAGAGCACTTCAGCTTTGGAGGTCACCAAACTGTAGTGGCAATTTTCTCGATAATTTTACCCCTGACGCCAGGCGACCTCTGCCTCTTTCAATACCAAATATCTCTACTTCTAGTCACGATAGATAGGTAGCCCCTGATATTTTCATCACAAGCAAGACTATAAATGAACATGCTTTAAGATTAAGCCAATAGCTCCAAATGTCCAAAAACTGACGAGCACCTGATTTCACCGCGTCGCGACACTCATGTTAGGTGTGCTCTACGTAATTCAGTAAAATCTATACTGAAAAAAAAAGACATAAATGCATGTAACAAGTGTTTCAGCACAAAATGTTTTTTTTTTAAATTTTAAAAAATTAAAAAAATGGAATACTGCCGACGTCTTTGATTGCATTATGTGTGTGTGTGTGTGTGTGTCGTGTGTGTGTGTGTGTGTGTGTGTGTGGTGGAGGGGGAGCTACAGCTATCTGAGGCTACTTTACATGTGGGTGAGCACGTCCCGTCAATCAGCGCACACCACTCAGGGTTATCTCAGCGCCCTCTGGACTGCTCGCTCGCATTTCACCTTATCGCCGCCCTTCCGGCATTTGCTCTCCACTCCTCGACAACTATACAACTGAAAAAGTAGGTACATAAATAGATTTCTACACCTTGATCAGATTTGTGCAGGCAATTAGTGGTCCATCAGGTGTAAGCCTCGGCTATCGGGTTTTTGCTTCGGGTCGTTAGTACCTCCCCTCCCCCC